CAAACCTGTGTTTATGCCTTCCTTGTATTCGCAGTGTAAACCTCGGCAAGCCTTTCAGCATATACTCAAGACAGCCAAGTTCCCTATCGAGAATTCTTACTATTTTTAACAATGAAAACCCTTACTTCTGCATTATTACCAAACGCATCTTCGATGTGGTGTCACTTTCAACTTATCTACAGTGATTCAAACAGAGCTTTTTTCAGGATTCATCATACTTTTATTCGAAGAAAGACAATTGAATCAATGGAACACTATTTTTGCATTCTTCACTGGCCAGTGATGTCCGTTATTTCTTTAATATAGAAGTAATCGGTAGGGTTACATACGGCCGTTTTAAGAACAATTATTGCATCAAGCTACCTTACTTTTGCTAAACCAGCGACAAAGGGGTAAGTCCGATACGTGCGAAATCTTTTTAAAGCAAAATAATATCCAGAAGTTTTGTTAAGAAGTGCCGGCCAAGTTCCAACTGAGAAATTCCATGCATTGTCAAGACCGAAATACTGATTAACAGAAGACGACTCGATCGTCTTCTCAATTACGTCCTGGGACTCGCATGTTCGCTTGTATTGGCATACTAATGAGCCTCATATTATTTTTGATAAAGTGTTCAAAGAAGTTACTAATCGCTCGAAATACCCGGGGATCAGAGCAGTATACCATAAGCTCCCATAGTCATAGGAACTACCACTAATCGGTTAGAGATTGAACTTTCTTTGACGGATGGAATATAAGTGCATGGAACTTCATTATTTTAATGAAAATGTTAAGCAAGCCCATAAGCGAATACGTGAAAACGAATTTGTTGTTGGACACGAAAACAAACTGTTCCTTATGGAAGCTCGCACATTTTCAGGACACAACTTTGCTGTTGACCACGCAAGAAGCCTGGGCCAATCACACAACAACAACAACAACAACAACAACTATATAATGTACAGCGCGTAAACGACTTTCTCAACCCGATTACTAGGTGCTGAGGAAACTAATCAATAGCGTGGCTGCAGGGCGTCTACCTGTAGCACAATCATTTGAAATGCAGGTGAACAGTATGTTTGCACTTATGGTTAGATATGATGCCGATTGAGATTTGGTTTTTCGTCAGCTAAAAAGGTAGGGAACTGCGTCATCCCTTCCCGTATATGCATTGGTGAATTGCAAAAAAGCAGCACTCGGATATCACTTTGTCAGCTGTCCACAACTGACCCATAGCATAAAATGAGCCAATCGAATTAACTACAGCTTTTATTTGGAAATACAATATCCTTTTATTTGGCCAAGTTGTGAGATAATTGGCGAACTCACTGGTATTCGAACACGTGACAGTAAGGGCAAGGTTGGC